ATGCATGCTCTCTGCCAATCCCTAGGTACCTTACCCTCTTCCATACATTTATTAAATAATTGCACCAACCACTCCAAAACTAATATCCCCACCTGCTTTTAACATTTCTTTTCTTTATCCCCTCAATCCCGCTGCCTTAAACCCCCCTTTCATTTTACCTACTGCCTCACGAACTTCCCCCACACTCACAACTGGCTCTTCCTCACTCCTACAAGATGTTATTCCTCCTTGCCCTATACACGAAATCACAGCTTCCCTAACTTCATCAACATTTAACAATTCCTCAAAATATTCCCTCCATCTTCCCAATACCTCTAACTCTCCATTTCATAACTCTCCTCTCCTATTTTTAACTGACAAATCCATTTGTTCTCTAGTTTCCTTAACTTGTTAATCTCACTCCAAAACTTTTTCTTATTTTCAACAAAATTTGTTGATAACATCTCACCCACTCTCTCATTTCCTCTCGTTTTACATTGCTTCACCACTCTCTTAACCTCTCTCTTTTTCTCCATATACTCTTCCCTCCTTGCATCACTTCTACTTTGTAAAAACTTCTCATATGCTAACTTTTTCTCCCTTACTACTCTCTTTACATCATTCCACCAATCGCTCCTCTTCCCTCCTGCACCCACTTTCCTGTAACCACACAAACTTCTGCTGAACACTCTAACACTACATTTTTAAACCTACCCCATACCTCTTCGACCCCATTGCCTATGCTCCCATTAGCCCATCTATCCTCCAATAGCTTTTTATATCTTACCCTAACTGCCTCCTCTTTTAGTTTATAAACCTTCACCTCTCTCTTCCCTGATGCTTCTATTCTCCTTGTATCCCATCTACCTTTTACTCTCAGTGTAGCTACAACTAGAAAGTGATCTGATATATCTGTGGCCCCTCTATAAACATGTACATCCTGAAGTCTACTCAACAGTCTTTTATCTACCAATACATAATCCAACAAACTACTGTCATTTCGCCCTACATCATATCTTGTATACTTATTTATCCTCTTTTTTCTTAAAATATGTATTACCTATAACTAATCCCCTTTCTATACAAAGTTCAATCAAAGGGCTCCCATTATCATTTACACCTGGCACCCCAAACTTACCTACCACACCCTCTCTAAAAGTTTCTGCTACTTTAGCATTCAAGTCCCCTACCACAATTACTCTCTCACTTGGTTCAAAGGCTCCTATACATTCACTTAACATCTCCCAAAATTTTCTCTCTCTCCTCTACATTCCTCTCTTCTCCAGGTGCATACACGCTTATTATGACCCACTTTTCGCATCCAACCTTTACTTTAATCCACATAATTCTTGAATTTACACATTCATATTCTCTTTTCTCCTTCCATAACTGATCCTTCAATATTACTGCTACCCCTTCCTTTGCTCTAACTCTCAGATACTCCAGATTTAATCCCATTTATTTCCCCCCACCGAAACTCCCCTACCCCCTTCAGCTTTGTTTCGCTTAGGGCCAGGACATCCAACTTCTTTTCATTCATAACATCAGCAATCATCTGTTTCTTGCCATCCGCACTACATCCACGCATCCCAGTTTTATAAAGTTTTTCTCTTCTCTTTTTTAGTAAATGTCTACAGGAGAAGGGGTTACTAGCCCATTGCTCCCGGCATTTTAGTCGCCTCATACGACATGCATGGCTTACGGAGGAAAGATTCTTTTCCACTTCCCCATGGACAATAGAAGAAATAAAGAAGAGCAAGATCTATTTAGAAAAAGGAGAAAAACCTAGATGTATGTATATATATATATGCATGTACGTGTCTGTGAAGTGTGACCAAAGTGTAAGTAGGAATAGCAAGATATCCCTGTTATTTAGCGTGTTTATGAGACAGAAAAAGACACCAGCAATCCTACCATCATGCAAAACAGTTACAGGTTTCTGTTTCACAGTCATCTGGCAGAACGGTAGTACTTCCCTGGGTGGTTGCTGTCTACCAACCTACTACCTGAATGTCTTCAGATATTTGGGAGTTGACTTGTCAGCAGATGGGTTTATGAAGGATAGACGAGGTTAGTCATAGAATTGATGAAGGAAAAAAAGCGAGTGGTGTGTTGAGGTTTAAGTGGAGACAAAAAAAGTTATCTATGGAGGCAAAGGAGGGAATGTACTAAAGTATAGTGGTACCAATGGTCTTATATGAGTGTGAAGCATCAGTTGTAAATGCTCCAGTGAGGATTAGGCTGGAGGCAGTGGAGATGTCATGTCTAAGGGCAATGTGTTATGTAAATATTAGGCAGAGAATTTGTAGTGGGGAAATTAGGTGTGGCACTACTAAAAGTATTAGTCAGAGGGCTGAAGAGGGGTTGTTGAGGCACTTTGGTGATTTAGTGAGAATGGAACAAAGTAGAATGACTTGGAGAGCACATAAATCCGTAGGGGAAGGAAGGCGGGGTAGGGGTGGTCCTTGAAAAAGTTGGGAGGGAGGGGGTAAGGAGGTTTTGTGGGGAAGGGGCTTGGACTTCCAGCAAGCATGAGTGAGCGTATTAGATAGGAATGAATGGAGACAAAAGGTTTTCGGGACCTGACGAGCTGTTGGAGTGTGAGCAGGGTAATATTTTGTGAAGGGATTCAGGGAAACCAGTTAGCCAGACTTGAGTCCTGGAAATGGGAAGTACAATGCCTGGACTTTAAAGGAGGGGTTTGGGATATTGGCAGTTTGGAGAGACATCTAAACTGCTGCATCTGACAAAGACAGCGATTATGTGAGTGATGGTGAAAGTGTTGAACGACGATGAAAGTTTTTTCTTTCTTTTTGGGTCACCTTGCCTCAGTGGGAAACAGCTGATGTGGAAAAAAAAAAAGTAACTGTCTATAACAGTGTTTATTTTGCTTTTGTTTTGCAACAAGCCAGAATTTTATCCACTTATGCCCAAAGCAGTATAGTGAGATGATTTTAGGGAAATAACCTACCCAGAAATTTACTAATTTTCAGCTACATATGAAAAGACTGTACCAAACTGTGGTGAAATGTATGCACAAGAAAAAATATTGAGAACTCATGGTTCAAATGGCAATGCAGATGGGTAAAAATCTAAGAAAAGAAGATGAAACAATACAGAATAAACCCAAACCCAAAACAGCGAAGGGAGCAGAAGATATCTGTAAGAAGAGTGAAGCTTAACCCTTTCAGGGTTGAGAGGCCCTCTTCTAAACTTGTTCTCAGGGTCGAAAATTTTCCAAAAAAAAAAAAAAAAAAAAACTTGTGAAATGATAGAGAATCTTTTCCCAATCATAATGACGCCAAAAGTATGAAATTTGATGGAAAACTTGCAGAATTATGCTCTTGCGAAATTAGCAGTCTTGCCGATGTTTACGCATCAGTGATTCTGCCCACTTTGAGCCCTATTTTTGGCCAATTCCAATGTACTAGTCGACAAAAATCATTTTTCTATTGAATGAGTACAATAAACCACCCATTTACCAATTTCAACTATCCAATAAAGTGGTTAGAAACTGGCAATTTTGCCAATTTCACACAAATTTCAGATGATGCCAATTTCCAAATAGGGTCCAGAATAAACAAGAAAGACATTCCTGGTATTAAAATAACAAGTTCTCTGTTTGTTAGTCACGTCCCCAGGGCCCTCTTATATTTCTTTTGCTTTCCACTTTGAATTTTTATTCTTAAAAAAAAAATAGAAGATTGACTGTTATGCAGACTACTGCATTAGTGTAGAAATGGTATAAATAATATCAGCGCACTTGTGAAAGAATATTAGACTCACCAGTTGGCGTGTATTGGATGCTTGGCATGAATTGTTTACTTTTGAACTTCGGTAAAAATCGAACATTTCTGCTACTTTGAGCTCAATTTCAAGGTACTTTTCATCGTGAAACCAGTCAAAAATCACCTCAATTTCTGTAATATGTCTTCCATTCTATAAAATGAGACCAGGAAAACTAGAATACAATCATAAATACCATACGAAAATACAGTGTAAAGTCACTGTTTTAATCCAAAAACATGGTCAAAGTTTTTTTTTTCTCATTAAGCACTGTATGCTGCAGGATTTTTTTTATACTGCACACTGACCACAGACCCATTCTTTCATATGTAGGCCTACCAGCTTTCTCTCGCTAGAATTTAGGCACACTAGTACATCAATAACCCTGGTGCGTAAGCCGTAGTAGTACGTTGAAAACCCTGAAAGGGTTAAAGAAACATAGCAACGACAACACACACACACAACAAAAAGCCTCTTTAAAACTCATAAGAAATATGTTGAAGGATTAAGTAATAAGACTGAGAAAAGGAGGTACACACATGAAATGAGAAGTATGCAATGACCTCAACAGATTTTTTTTTTTTTTTAACAAATGACCAAGAGTTATTACCAGTGATAGAGATTATAAATCAAATAAAACTATCAAACACAAACAAATAATGGGAAAAAGTAAGGGGTAACAAATATAGTATCACCAAGAATCTTACTAGCCAAAATATGTTAGCAACTTGCAATGAAAAAATCCATCAATGACAGGTGAAATGCCAGAAATCTTGATTGAAATGTGATACCACTATTTATGGAAGGTGATGGTAGGTTGCCCTAAACTACAGACTAGTGTCCTGAGCAAGTGTAACAAACAAATTGCTAGTTACAAGCCTTCATTACAGAGAGTTACAGAGTTGTTGACGCAACAAAAAAAGTGGAAGCAGGTTTCATACAGGGGTTGAAAGTGGCATTACAAGGTACACTGATTTCAGTAGGAAGTTAAGAGACAGGACCAAGATCTACTGGTGGCCTAATTTTCCACTGCAAATCACACATGAAATTATATGGATGAAAGCTATACACCAAAATCATCAGCACATGGATTAAGAAAAAAATTGAATGTGAAGCAAAATGAACTGGGTAGTAACGTCAAACAAGCTGGCTCTTCACACAAGCTCCAAGTAGCATTTGTTGCAATATTAGTATTGAAAAATATGTAATGTGAAACATGCACAGGACACACATACCTCGTCAACATTAATTGCCGATGCATTGTATTTAAGGATTTTTGTGACGGCAGCAATAGCATTTTCGGTGGGGTTCAGATTGACTTCATTACGAGCATCTGGACTTTCAATAACTTGCACTAAAAGAGGAATTGCCTGGGCACACACAGGTGCAAAGGCAGGTCCAGAAAACTGACCCAAGACCCCACAACCATAAGCAGCTGCTTGTCGTACTTCACCTTGCTTATCTGCTACAAACTTTAGTAAGGCCTGAAATGTAAAAAAAAAAAAAAATATATATAAATAAAAAGTTCCCAATTTTTTTTTATCTTACCATGTAATAAGAACAATAAACTTGCAACACTAGGAATCTTTACTGACTAAACATTTTGCTTGCAATGCAGACTTCAGCAGTCTATTACAGAGATGAATCGGAAATTCTGGACATACCACCACTGATATTAGATGAAACAGACGAAGTGTAGTAGTCTGATGCAATCCTTCAGTCCACCACCCTACAACCAAGATGACAAGTCTCGAATCCTATAGCAAAAGCATATGACCTGAGACTTATATACAGGAAGCTGAGGTATACCAGCTTGGGGATTAAGTCACAGGTGAACTGAACCCACTAGTGGAAGTAGGTTATACTAAACAGTTGTTAGCCAGAGATGCTTAAGACATCCCTTGTACCAAAATATCATTATTCTGTTGAGTTATCTTGGAACAAGGGATGTCTTCAGTAGCTCCTTTGCCAACAACTGTTTATCATGATCTATTACTAGTGGGCCAAGCTCACTTGTGACCTTATCTTCAGCTGCTACACCTCACCTTCCTGCATATAAGCCTCTGGCTATATGCTTCTGCTAGGCTGAAGGACTGATTACATCAGACCACATCCACACTTTGTATTCCATCAATGATGATGTCTTCAAGATTTGTGATTCATCTTTGTATTTGACTGAAGCCTACAGCACAGGCAAAATGTTTTGTCAATAAAGATTCCTAGTGTTTCAAATATCTTACTTTTCAATTTGTCAGTATTGTATACCATTCATCTGTGCTTGACTTACCAATGTTTAGTAAATAAAAACTTTTCTATTACATTAACTCCCAACTAATAAGTGGCTAAAAATAAATTCAATGATCCTTCCAGTAATCAAATACTTACTCAAGTATTAATTTACCTTTAATGAGATATCATAAATAGTAAATGTAGTACCAGCATATTGAAATACAGCTTCATGTACCTTTTTAATACAATCAACAAAGTGACAACTTTAAGAAAAACAGTGACTGTACTCTGAAGGCTGGGAAGGGATGTATTTCTGAGGATTGCTTAATTAAGTTGGTGGAATCTATGCACATTTGGAAATATAGCTATGGAATGAACAATGTTAAATGTGTTCTCTTCTAAGGGTCACCCTGCCTTGATGGGAAATGCTAGTTTATAAAAAATGTGCCATCTTAATTTTGTGAGATATGACAAAAATTATAATAATTTCTTATTTATAGACCATTTGTGCTCATCTGATACTTCCATCAAAACTAATTTAGGAAATAAAGATACAGAGCAGATTTAGAGTGCATCAACCACATACAAACTCACAGCTCACTAAAACTTACCCACATTAAAAGTGACTTACCTGGAGAAAATGATCAGTGTATTTGTCACATGCAGGTCCTCCAAATTCTATAACATCATCAAAAATGCATAGTCCCCACTGGTGATCAGGCCACGGTCTATCATCACCCAACAGCTTTACAAAGTGTGGTAAGAGGGCATCAAAGAAAGGGAAGAAATGTTGACCATATGCAGCAAAAAGTGCATGTGTAATATCAGCAACTTTGCTCAGGAGATAGACATCTTCATCATCCTCATCTAAAAGCTGCTCTTCTACAACCTGCAAGAAAAGTATCCATGTCTATAATCTTTATTAAGTTTAAATTTAATTTATTTAAGGATAATCAAAATGAAAACAGGAAGAGAGGTCATACAGGAAAGGGAGTTAAAAGACCATATGGCTTGTGTTGGGTTTATCTGCCAACTAGTCTAGTTACCTCAAATTCTGTCTAGATAATTTGTGATGTTAGGGCATTGTAGTGCATGCAAAGAACAAGGAGAGAGGTTAAAAACAGGAGAATGGAGAAAATGTTAGGTAATTCAATAAAAATTACGTCTACCATAAAGTGTCAACATCAGAGTTTTCAACTCTTAAGCTTTTGCCTATTAGCAAATGTAAGCAATATTGTGGGCACAAATGTAGTCTTTGATCATTAATGGTCTAATGGCTTTATGGGTGACATGCAAGTCTGGACACAAGCCTCATCTCACCATCTACACCGAATCCCTTGCCACAGGCCATTTCCCCAACCCTTTTCCAACACACTGCACCTACTATATGCCATTTTGGAATTCTACCACAACAATTTACTAACTACCTCCTAAGCAGACATTACACAAGTAAATACTAGGCGTGTTTTGGCTGCTGCATGATCAAAGACAATTATCGATGAAGCTCATAAGCGCAGCCCCCTTCCCTCTATTCAATACACACAAAAGGAATAGGCCATGGCCATCAAACTTTATTACAGCAAAAGAAATTTGTATGCATGGGCATAAGGATGTGTGCATATGCATTCTTGTATACTGTGTTTATATACAGTAGGGCCCCACTTATATAGCAGGTTAGGTTCTAGGCTACCGTCATAAACTGGAAATCACCGTAAAGTGGAACACCCCCTTTTCCACTTATAAATGCATACTAGATAACAAATTGACACTAACATATATTGGAAAGAGGGGGTAAAGGAGGTTTTGTGGGCGAGGGGCTTGGACTTCCAGCAAGCGTGCATGAGCGTGTTAGATAGGAGTGAATGGAGACGAATGATACTTGGGACCTGACGATCTGTTGGAGTGTGAGCAGGGTTATATTTAGTGATTTTAGTGCTGATGATACTGTGCTTATGGGAGATTCTAAAGAAAAATTGCAAAGGTTAGTGGATGAGTTTGAGAATGTGTGTAAAGGTAGAAAGTTGAAAGTGAACATAGAAAAGAGTAAGGTGATGAGGGTATCAAATGATTTAGATAAAGAAAAATTGGATATCAAATTGGGGAGGAGGAGTATGGAAGAAGTGAATGTTTTCAGATACTTGGGAGTTGACGTGTCGGCGGATGGATTTATGAAGGATGAGGTTAATCATAGAATTGATGAGGGAAAAAAGGTGAGTGGTGCGTTGAGGTATATGTGGAGTCAAAAAACATTATCTATGGAGGCAAAGAAGGGAATGTATGAAAGTATAGTAGTACCAACACTCTTATATGGATGTGAAGCTTGGGTGGTAAATGCAGCAGCGAGGAGACGGTTGGAGGCAGTGGAGATGTCCTGTCTAAGGGCAATGTGTGGTGTAAATATTATGCAGAAAATTCGGAGTGTGGAAATTAGGAGGTGTGGAGTTAATAAAAGCATTAGTCAGAGGGCAGAAGAGGGGTTGTTGAGGTGGTTCGGTCATTTAGAGAGAATGGATCTAAGTAGAATGACATGGAAAGCATATAAATCTATAGGGGAAGGAAAGAGGGGTAGGGGTCGTCCTCGAAAGGGTTGGAAAGAGGGGGTAAAGGAGGTTTTGTGGGCTAGGGGCTTGGATTTCCAGCAAGCGTGCATGAGTGTGTTAGATAGGAGTGAATGGAGACGAGTGATACTTGGGACCTGACGATCTGTTGGAGTGTGAGCAGGGTAATATTTAGTGAAGGGATTCAGGGAAACCGGTTATTTTCATATAGTCGGACTTGAGTCCTGGAAATGGGAAGTACAATGCCTGCACTTTAAAGGAGGGGTTTGGGATATTGGCAGTTTGGAGGGATATGTTGTGTATCTCTATACGTATATGCTTCTAAGCTGTTATATTTTGAGCACCTCTGCAAAAGCAGTGATAATGTGTGAGTGTGGTGAAAGTGTTGAATGATGATGAAAGTATTTTCTTTTTGGGGATTTTCTTTCTTTTTTTAGGGTCACCCTGCCTCGGTGGGAGACGGCCGACTTGTTGAAGAAGAAGAAGAAAAAAAAAAAGTTAGCAATAGAACTAGGCATTAACCCTTTCAGGGTCCCCAGGCCCTCTCCCAGATAGAGAATCTTTTCCCAATCATAATGACACCAAAAGTATGAAATTTGATGGAAAACTTACGGAATTATGCTCAGGGAAAGGAACAGATATTTCGATTACACCATGGAAAACACAATACTTTCACCAAAATCACGTCTACACCAGTGAAAACAGACAACTGTGGCTGGGATGTATCTTTTGTTTGCGACAATAATGCTTATGCCCCATGTGTGTATAAGCAGTGTCAAATCATATTGGTCAACAGACTGCCTGATTGCAACCCCAGGTTTCAGTAACATTATACCAGTGAATCGATTTGTGCTGCTGTTACGTATGCTTTACTTCTCAGACAAAACCAGGCCTGACAGAAACGACAGCTTATACAAGATTAGGAATGCGTTTGTGTATCTGAAACAGAAATTCAATATGTATTTTTATCCCTTCAGGAAGCTTGTTATTAATGAGTCTTTGATTCTGTTCAAAGGAAGACTGTCATTCAAGCAGTACATACCAAGCAAAAGGAAACACTTTGGTATAAAGTGGTTTGTGCTTGTGATTGCTACAGTGGTATTGTACTGGATAGGATAAAACTGTGTACACTGGAAGTAATATATTGCAAGATACCAGGAAGTTACTGGGTATCTCTGGTGATGTGGTTAGAACAATGATGGAACCAGAATAGCATGAGAATGAGAGCGGAAGTGTTCGACAAAAAGAGCGGAAAGCCACCATAGGTAGTTGGGCTTTTGCGCAAGCCCATGTCAGTGGGAAAGAACAGACACGAATAGCCGGAATTTCCCAAGGGGGCAGGGAAAAGTGAGAGGCTACATGAACACACAGGTGGTAACTGAAGAGAAGAAAAGAGCGAATGCAGGTGGAGAGAACAGGGATGGAGTAAACGGGCGACGAACAAATAAAGAGCGTTTATTAACATCAGTGACTATCCTATATACAGAAGGATTGTAGAGGTCATGGGATCGAACATAATAGCGAAGGCAATGAGCATCACGGCGATCAGACAAGGACGAAAAATCCACCCCTGTATAGAGGCTCTTAATGGGACGAACAAAAGGCACCAAGGCACAGGCAGAGACTTTAGTGATGAATAGGATCTAACTTAGAGTTGCGGGAGAAGCCGCAGAATAGATATGGTCACCATAATCTAGCTTGGACAAGACTAGGGTGGAATGCAAACAGAGGAGTGCGTGATGATCTGCTCCCCATGAACGATGTGCAAGAACCTTAAGGAGATTTAGCCGACCATGGCAAGTTGTCTTTAACAAAGAAATGTGAGGTTTCCACATCAGCCGGCGGTCAAAGACCAGGCCCAGAAACCTGACTATCACATGTCAGAATACGTGAACCGTGTAAGTACAACTGAGTATCCGGTATAAGAGTGTGTCTAGTGAAGGTTATGAATCGGGTTTTCATACTGGAAAATTTAAAGCCATGAGAAGTAGCACAATGGGAGACTCGGTTTATTGCTACCTGAAGGGAGGCCGCTACCAGTCGACAGTCAACGCCCGAGTAAGCTATAGCAAAGTCATCATCATGAAGTGATGATCAAATATGCGAAGGAAGAATGGAAGGTAGGTCATTTATAGCTAAGAGAAAAAGAGTAGTACTGAGGACACAACCGTGTGGGACTCCTTCGGCTTGTACAAGTCCATGGAAAGTGAGGCGCCAATACGGACCCGAAAATGTCTATGGGACAAGAAAGCAGTGAAGAAGTTTGGTAGATTACCGTGGAGGCCTAAGGAGTGGGCTTGGGCTAGAATGTAATACCTCCAAGTGGTGTCATATGCCTTCTCTAGATCGAATAAGGCCACTAGCAAGCAAGAGGTCTCAAGAAGTGGCCTTTGCGAAAGCCATATTGGCAAGGGGAAAGGCTATTGTGCGTCTCTAAGGACCACATCAGACGTCTATTCACCAATTGTTCCAACACCTAATTTTAGAAGAGTAAAAGGTACGTTATACGGCTCCAATCCATCAGAGGAGAAATATAAGGGAAATTGCTCTTTGGTAGGTTTACATGCAAGAAACGAGGCACAGAGGTGAAGCCCTTGGAAGATACGGATAAGATTGTTCCCAATTTCTGTGGCAACTTCTAAATGTTCTGCGACATCAACCCCAGCAACCCGCAAAACAGGAGCTGGGCCTGGAGTGTACTTACTACAGTGGTCCCTCGTTTTTCGTAATTAATCCGTTCCTGGAGGAGCTACTATAAACGAAATTTACGATTTGCGAATCAATTTTCCCCATAAGAAATAATGTAAATACAATTAATCCGTTCCTGACACCCAGAAGTATTAAAACAAAAATTTTTTTACATGAAATATACATGTAGTACATAAACAATACAATGGGAATGATGAATGAAACATTAACAGCATAACACTTACCTTTACTGGAGATTCTTCTTAGTGTATGGGAGACTGGAGGAGGAGAGAGATTGGATTGTTTACAGTTTGGAAGGGAAATCCCCTTCCAGCAACACCTCAGGTACTAATTGCTTCTCTTCTCTGTTTCTTAATGCCACTAGGACCACCTTGAGAATCATTCTAGTCCTGTCTCGCAAAGTAACTGTGGAGAGAGCTCTGTTTCTGGCGTCTCTTTAACACTTCCCTAAAATGGCCCAAGACTTTGTCACTGTACATATTTCTCACCTTCTTTACCACAGGCTTGGCACTAGGAGCTTTCTTTGGAGCCATGGTAGCTTATTTAGTACTTGCAAGCACTAAAATGAGTGGAATATTACGAAATATTTCGTAGGAGCACTTGAGGGGACCTTCACTCACTG